AAAGAATATTGGGGAGGTATCCGAGCTCGAAGATGTGCTGAATTGAAGCAAGCCCTCAAAGAGCAGAATGGATATCTCGTCCAGAAGTTGGCTCGGCTCATTGCGGGAAAGAGAAGGGGGCCCAGGCAGAGGAGGTTCGCGGCAGTCCCTGGATCCACGGCGTCAGCCAAAGCGTGGGCGCAAAGGTTGAAGCTGGAACCCGAGCGAGAAGGGTGCAGTGCCATCCCCTACAGCGTCGAGGAAACGAGGAGGGACTTGCGGGAGGAGAGGCGGGAGAGGATGGAGGACAGCGAGGCCGCCTATCTTGCGGCGGAGGACTGGAGGGAGATGTCGTCCACGGTCTGGAAACTAAAGTTTTGGAGGGCCTGGCCGGCGTGGAGCACGCGCCCCGAGTGCTTGCGCATGGTGTTCCGTCCCCACAAAATGAACGAAAGTCGTCCTCTCGTCGCATCAGGAATCGGCTACCAGCAGGAGTGGCCGAAGATCTCTCTCACGAGAGGCATGCTGCAGGCGCTGCTCGGGACATGCAGGCGAGTCCGAAGATACCCCGTCCACTGGCACTGTGCCCAGGCTGCCCGCATCCCCAAGCCCAATCGTAAGCTGGACTGCGAGGGGGAGAGGCTCATAATGATGATGTGCACCCTAGGTCGGACATACAACGCCGCAATGATTAGGAGGAAACAGCCCCCGTGGATCGCACCCGAGTGGATATACGGAGGTATACACGGAAGGAGAAGGGAGGCGGCTATCGGGGTTCAGCGCGCGTCGTCCTACAGATTGCAAGCAGGAGGCGTGTCGCACCTGCTCAGGTGCCACGATGCTGTCAATGCCTTCTACAGTCTCTATCAGGATAAGGTTCTCGAGGCCGCCGAGAGTTGCTACCAGCTCCAGGACTTCCAGTTCATCGAAGATCGTGTCAAGAAAAACCTGGTACACATATCTGATGAAACAGGCAGTTTTTGGATGCGGGCTCATCGGGGTGTTTTTCCAGGAGATACGGGTGCTACTCGACTCTTCAATCAGACTTACCTCCCCCCGTTCGCCAAGTATGCCGACGCCGCCATCGATAATCAGTGGCACGTCGTCCTAGAAGCGGGCCTCCCCTGGGATTGCACGAAGAAGACACAGGTCGGAATCACGGGGTTCGTCGACGACATCGGTACTAAAGTGTTGGAGGCGGGGGGGGGACCATGCTGGAGCAGATCGAGAGAGGGGGGGCACTCGAGAACGAGGCGGTCGACAGGGGGCTCAGAGAGATCGGAGCGAGTCAGAATTTAGAGGAGGAGAACGTATGTTATCTAGCTGGGTGGGGCTCTTACACGGCTACACGGGCACTCTCCAGACAAGAAACAGCGCTGGATGGGAAGGTCGTGCACCACGTTCGGTACCTAGGTGGGCTCCAGGCGTCCACGTTCTCGCCGGTGCCGGAGCTGCAGAAGAGACTGTTCGCCGTCAAGTCCAGCTTCCACAGTATGGGAGCATTCTGGTACAGTGACGCTCCCTTCGCAGTAAAAAGAAATGTAGTGAAAGGGTTACTGGTCAATGCCGCCTTATCAGGTCTTGAGGTGTGTGTACATGGACAGGGGCCACTGCAGGAACGGGACCTCCAGCCTCATCAATCTTACATCTTGGGTAAATGTAGGGCCATACTCCAAGGCACGGCACGCAGGAATGAGCACGACACGCACATCATCATAGACACCAATATACATAGTCTTGAGAAGTTCAAAATGGGCAGCCTGTACTTGGAACTACGTATAAGAAGGCTTACATGGATGCAGGTTATGGTTGCTAACAGAGATGTGCATGTACAGTATCTAGCGGCAGTGTTTGGAAGCATGGCATGTGACGGGGATGTCTTTAACGAAGGCAAGATCACCGACAAAGCTAACCCTTGGGCAAGGCAGGCCCATCAAGATATCCTATCACTACACGACCTCGAAGACGGGCGCGCAATGCTAGAGAACCAGACCATATTTAGCATATTGTTTGAGGACCCCACGGATTTCATCAAAATTGACGTCGCCGAGCTTAGATCCGTCTTCTGCACCAAGGAGGAGAAGGACAGGCAGGAGGTGGCTAGGACGGGGGGGGGAGTTTATCTGCCAGGAGGTCTGGGACGACGGCGCAATATGTGGAACCTGCTGGCCCAGCAGAAAGCAGCTCATGGCGCACGTGGCAAACTCAAAAGGGGGCTCTCACGGGAAGCTACACATCGGACGAGTACTTACGGTCACAAATGTATGCCCTATTTGCAAGAGCGTCTTCAGAGATCGAGCCAGTGCCGTCCATCACGTAGCGGCCAGCATGAGAAGAAACTATTGCCCCATGAATCGTGGAGGATACGAGGCCACCCTCATTGAGCCCAAAAGTCTGGAATGCCTCGCGTGTTTCGAGGAGCTGTCATCTGTAGCCAGCTTCCTCGAGCATGCGGCGACTCACATTCCGCATCATCTTCCTCCTTCTTTTCATATTCGTGAGGCTGCTGGCACTGCCCATGGGCTCCCCGGGCGGAGGGGCAGCCGCCTCGGCGCCCGCGTCACAGCTCGCCCTCGCCCCCACGCCCGCGTCCTGGATCCCCCACAAGAAGGACAAGGGCGGCGCGGGCGAGGACAGGGACAGCAAGCACAAGATGCGCCGCCAGGAGGACATCGTGGAAGAGGACGAGCACGAGCACGAACCCGGCCCTCTGCGCAGCCTGGTGTACCAGCTCGAGGCCAGGATGCGCGCGACCGAGCACGCGGGGTTCACCAGCGTGCTCCTGGACCGCAACCACCCGCGCATCGTGGAGAGCAACGCAGCGTTCCAGCGGTTCCTCGCCAACAAGAAGACCAGTCCAGAGGACGAGCGAGGCACGCCAGCGTGCCAGAGTGCTTTCGCGGTTCTCGCCGCTTTGAGCAACTTCGCCTTCAAGGACACCTCACAGAGACGGGCCGCCTGCGCGATGTGCATCCGCCGCCTGATGAAGATGATCGAGCACGGCGGACCGACCATCGCCGAGACGTGGATCACAGAGATGGTGGCGAGCCCAACATTCGACCAGCCAGGCAAAGCTCAGAAGTCACGCCTTACTTTCAACCTCAAAAGCCAGATCCTGATGACGACACAGGTGTCCGACCACGAGAAGCTGATGGCCGCCATCGAGGGAGGCGGCGACGTTACGATCAAGCAGGTGAGTCCGACCGAGACGCCGACCACCATCCTCAACATGCCAGGGTACCTGATGGACATCAACCTGCTCATCGCCGAGCAGCTTCGCGCGGCAGGCGGGCGCCACCTCGTCAACAAGGCTCCGAGGGGCAACCTGGCCAGGAAGATCGGCGGAGGCGGCAAGGGCAAGAGCAAGGGCAGAGCCCAAGTGAGCCTCGCTGTAGCGTCGTATCACAGAGTGAGACCGCCGCCTGGACTAGAGCACCAGTCTACCGTCGCGCTTCCTAGGGACCCGTATCCTGTTCCCCCTCGTCGCCTCTTCGGGTCTGCCTCGACCTCGGCGCGTCGCCCCGACCCCTCCGCTCCGGAACCCGACCCCTTCGCAGCTGACGAAGAGGCCGCCCCTGACATGCACGAGCCATGACAATGTCACGAAATTCGGTCTGCAAATGCGAGCGAAAGCTGCACCTGCCATGGCACCCCGATGCATCGCGACAGGGCGATCTCGAAGTCTTTTCCCGTTTTCGCGAGCGCCTCACCACGGTGTCCCCTGTGCGGGCGCCAACCGGGGCGCATCCGCCCGTGCCAGCCTGATTTCGGCACGGCAGGCCCCAGAGTGACGCAATGCGAGAGAGGGGGCGAGCTATGACACGCCCCCGACCCAGAGCAGATACGACCAGGCAAGGATCGTTGCTTGAATGGGTTCGAGACGAGACGAGACTCCTCCTCCTCCTCCTCCTCCTCCTCCTCCTCCTCCTCCGCCTCCTCCTCCCTCCTCCTCCTCCTCCTCCTCCTCCGCCCCTCCTCCTCCTCCTCCTCCTCCTCCTCCTCCTCCTCCTCCTCCTCCTCCTCCTCCTCCTCCTCCTCCTCCTCCTCCTCCTCCTCCTCCTCCTCCCTCCTGCGCTTCTGCCTCCAAGGCCCTCTCTGGCATGACCGGTACATCGGATCGAAGGGGGCCCCGCCCCTGCACCCCTCCCCCCGCCGGGGCGTCGCGTCGAGGGTCGAGCATCGGGGGATCGAGCATCGGAGCATCGGTCGATTGGTCGATCGAGGATCGGTCGATCGAGGATCGAGGATCGAGGATCGAGGATCGAGGATCGATCGAGGATCGGTCGATCGACGATCAAGGCTCGATCGAGGATCGAGGATCGAGGGTCGATCGGCGCTCCCCGCGGGGGAGGCCTGCCACTCGGCCCAGGGCGCCAGGGCCAGCCGCTCCAGCTGGGCGGTGGCGAGCTGCGGCTCGCCTTGCGGTCGTCGTTCGTCCTCGTCGCCCGTCGTCGTCGTCGTTTTCGTCGTCGTCGTCCTCGTGATCGTCCTCGTCCTCCACCTCCACTCCATTTCCTTAACGAAACCTCCTCCCTGTCGCACCCCGAAGCTGGTCGAAAGTGCGAGCGGGGCGTTTCGCCAGAGACATCCTCACCACTTATGACCCTGATGCTTGAACATTGAAAACGGCTTCACGGATTGAGGGCGGGTAGTTTTTAAAATGTGGCTCTCGCCTTAGCGCCTCGGCCATTCGCTTCACAACGCGGAACATGCGTGCGTGCCCGTGCGGCAGTGTGCAACAGGGGGCAACAGATGGAGCACCACGCGCACGGGTGTCAGGATGCGCCGGGAATGCACTATTTTTCCTTCCGTGGCTCGTGGGTCTCCCTGTGCCGCTGACAACTAGCAGCGTTGGGACAGTGGCACAGCGTTGGGAGACCATCACGGCCCCCCCTGCATAGCCGGGGGGCCAACCCTGGCATGCGAGGAGGGGCTGCCGGGACCCAAGGGAGGCCACCCCCAGGAACCGCAGACGCAGCCAGTACCCAACACGTTGGCTGAGAACCACCCACCGCCGCCACTCAGCCCACCGTCGCTGCGCCACCCCTCGCGTTAGCGCTCTCCTGGTCGCTGGCCACCAAGGCTTGCGTCAGCAAGTGTGCTGCATCAGCGGCGTCTTCGTCGATGCACGCCAAGAACGCCCTCGACTGCCACTCGCTCGCGCACACGATGTCACCAATGGAACACCCCGCCTCGGCCAGGGCTGTGGCCCTTCCTGCGCGGAAAGCCTTCAAGGTGAACTGCGTTGCGCCCTCTACCGACAGCAACGCCAGAACGCGCTGCAGCCACGAGCCGAACTGTGCGGCGCTGAATGGCCAGAGAGGTTGGCCCGCGCGCAAAGTGGCTAGGTAGGGGCCAATACGGTGTGCAGGGCATCGTCTCGCACCCCATTGACTGCGCGTGCACCCGCGCTTCAACAACGAGCCACAGGGCCAGTTGTCGCGCCTGGCGAGCCGGACGCACCAAGAACTGGATATCAACCCACACAGCCGAGTGCCTGCCAGTGGGCAGGCAAACAGCATCCTCAGGGCCGCCACGTTGCAGGGGCACGCCCTCGGAGTGAACTCGCAACTCCCACGCTGCTGCAGAGCCGTCGCTCCTGAGCAGCACCGCGTGCCAAACTCTGGCGACGGCCACCGTAGCCGGCGCGCGCGCGCGCGCTCGCGCGCAGGGCGGGCCGGCGGGGGCCCCGCTCGACAGACCCAGAGATCCGAGGGCGTGATTTTTTCAATACGGGGTTCCCGGCAGTCCCCACCCATTCCCCTGGACCCCTCCTCCTCCTCCCCCTCCTCCTCCTCCTCCTCCTCCTCCTTCTTCCTCCTCCTCCTCCTCCTCCTCGAGGGCCTCCGTCCTGATGTTCTCCACGCGCTGGACCTCTGGGGAGCCGCGCGCGGCCCGAACGGGGCAAACGCGCGGGTGCTTCGTGGACGCCCGGGAGGGGTACGGAAGGAAGGGGCACCATGCTCGACAGCAGATGTTGTCCCACAGCGGCTTCTCCTCCTCCTCCTCCTCCTCCTCCTCCTCCTCCTCCTCCTCCTCCTCCTCCTCCTCCTCCTCCTCCTCCTCCTCCTCCTCCCCTCCCCTCCCCCTCCCACTCCCCCCCCTCCCCCATCCTCCCCCATCCTCCCCCCTCCTCCTCCTCCTCCTCCTCCTCATCCTACTCCTCGGGCACAATGCCCGACAGCGGCCGCTGTTGGGCAGGCGGCCTTCTGTCTCGAGTGGGCACAGGTCGCGGTGGCGTGGACAGCGAGCCCGGATCAAAACGCACAGGATCCGCGGTGGGGCTCTGTACCCATCCTCTTTCCGTGCCCATCTCGTTCGTGCAGGGGTGCGGGGGAGGTTCTCGGGTCGGGCGGGCTGCCCCGGCCCGGCGGCCGCGAGTCGAGGAGGGGGTCTGCGCGCTCGAGGCGCGGAGGCCGCTTGTGGCGTCCACGTGCGGGGAAGGCGGCGGATCTGCGGAGGGGCCGTGGAGGAGGAGGAGGAGGAGGAGGAGGAGGAGGAGGAGGAGGAGGAGGAGGAGGAGGAGGAGGAGGAGGAGGAGGGGGGGGGGGAGGAGGAGGAGGAGGGCGAGGACGAGAGAGGAGGATGAAGAGGAGAGGGAAGAGGAGGAGGACGGGGGGCCCGCCGAGAGGGCATGGAGGAAGAGTCGGGAAAGGGAGGAGGGAGGAGGAAGAGAGCAGGAGGGCGAAGAGTCCATTCCTCAGCTTTCGGCACGACGACGCGTCACGGAACGTGCCAATGGACGTGCCACGGGACGCGCCAGGTGACGCGCCGCGCGGCGTGCCAAGGGGATTCGCCACGGGACGTACCACGGAACGTGCCAGGTTGTAATGCTGAGTGTGACGATCTTGATGTACCGTGCCGAGGGCTGTGATGTGCTGCGCCGTGCTGAATTACGATGTGCCATGCCGCGATTGTGCTCTATAGCGTTGTGGATCGAGTCCTCCTTTGCATCCGAGTCTTGACCGAACTGATCTGGATCTCAAGCTCGAGCTTCCTGAGCACGTAGTAGCTGCCCCAGAGCTCATTGACAGGGGGACATGCCAGGAGGACGCGCCGCGGAACATTCCAAGGGACGCGTCAGGCGATGTGCCAGGGACGTGCCATGGGGACGCACCGCGGGACGTGCCAAGGGGACGCGCTACGAGCGTGCCAATGGACGTGCCAAGGGGCGCGCCGCGCGACGTGCCAGGGGGACTCGCCACTGGACGCGCCACGGAACGTGCCAGGGAACGCGCCAGGTTGCAATGCTGAGTGTATCGATCTCGATGTACCGTGCCGAGAGCTATGCCGTGCCTGGGCGACCTGGACACGTGAAAACAAGCGTTTTGCTCAAGACATGATCAACACATCCTCATGCTGGACATCCACCTGGGCAACCTGGACATGTGCAAACAAGCGTCTCGTTCGAGACATCCTCAACAAATCCTCATGCTAGACATCTGCCTGGATGCTAAACATCAGCCTGGGCGACCTAAACGTGTGAAGCCAAGCGTCTCGCTCGAGACATCCTCAAGACCTGGGTACGTGAAAGCAAGTATTCTACTCGAGAGATCCTCTGAATTCTAGTCCCCAGGAGAGGACAATATAGAACGCAAAACAAGCGTTTCGCTCGAGACATCCTCAACAAGTTCTGCAAAACAGACGTTTCGCTCGGGACATCCTCAAAAATAATTCCGCTGGCCCTCTTCGACCTTGTTAGTTATCGCAGAATAATTCCACCGGTCCTCTTCAGTCGAGAACCGTGGGCCAGAGCCCTTTCCTGGAAAAACGCAAGAGCCACTGCCCGAGTCGGCACAGTGACCTATCCTCTCCCCTCCTTCCCCCTCCAACCTCACTCGTCCAACCTATCCACTCCGTTCCCTCCACCTCACACCACTCCCCAGCCACCGAACCCTTCACCCCTCCCCCCCCTCCGATCCCTCCCCCTCCTCTTCCGCCCCCCCCTCCCGTCCCCTCTCCTCCCACCTTCAGGACCCCTCACCCACCCCTCCCCCACAGACTTTCCTTCTCCCGTCCATTCCGTTTTCCCCATTCCCACACCACTTTCCCTCTCTGGTCTCTTCCCCTCCCACCCCGCCTGCCCCAAGGGCGACGACGACGACGACGACGACGACGACGACGACGTCGACGACGACGACGACGACGACGACGACGACGACGACGACGACGACGACGACGACGACGACGACGACGACGACGACAATGACATCGAGAAGGGCAGCGACGACGGCGGCGACGGCGGCGACGACGACGGCGACGGCGGCGGCGGCAAAGGCGACGACGAAGGCCACGGCGACGACGGCAACGGCGACGGCGGCGGCGACGACGACGGCGACCGCGACCTCGGCGCCGACGCCAGAGGCGACGACGCCGACGACGCCGGCGGCGGCGGCGGCCGGCCGCCGACGGCCGCCGGGGGGCCGGCGGCGGCGGCGGCGGCGGCCGGGCGGCGGCGGCTGGCCTGACACGACGCAAGTCCGCCGCCCGCACGCAGAGGCGGCGGCGCGTGCCCGCCCTCGCGCGCCGCCGGCGCGCCCGCCGCCTCGGCGCCGCCGAGGCGTCGGCGCCGGCAGCCGTCGTCGGCGGCGTCGGCGTCGGCGTCGGCGTCGGCGTCGGCGTCGGCGACGCCGTCGGCGGCGGCGGCGCCGTCCGCGGCATCGACGTCGTCGTCGTCGTCGCCGGCGGCGACGGCGTCGGCGTCGGCGGTCGTCGTCGGCAGCGTTGGCGTCGTCGGCGTCGCCGACGTCGTCGTCGGCGGCGGCGTCGGCGGCGCGGGAGGAGGACAAGGAGGAGGAGCAGGAGGAGGAGGAGGAGGCGGACAGGATAGAAGAGGAGGGGACAGTGACGAAGGAGGCTGAGGAGGGGGAGCAGAAAAGGGGGAGGTGGCAGAGCAGCTTAGAGTTAAGAAACTGTAAGAGGACTAAAATGGACTTCACTCGAAACGCTTTCTTAACCAGTAGTCGAGGTCCCCCGAGAGAACGGCAACGGTCCAGTCCAGATTCTCGATTGCGGCCTCATCGTTTGACGCTTCTTCCGTCGGCGGCGCACCAGGGGGCGTCTACGCTGCCGGAGTGGGCTAAACGGGGGCGCTGCAGCAGCGATGTAGCCAGCATGCAAGAGCGGGAAAAGAGGACAGCGGGCGGGCGGCCGCGGAAGGGGGGAAGGCGAGGGCCACTCCGGGGCGGACGGGCCACGTCCATGTGGGAGCTGGCGCGGCCGGCCCCGCCGGCGGGGGCTGCAGCAGCAGCAGCCGGGCCGCTGCGCCGCTGCGCCTGCGGAGGCGGGGCCCAGCACGGGCACCCCAGACCCCCGACGTCATGATTTTTTCATGACGTCGCCCCCCCGAGGTCTCGACCCCCCGGAGGCCGAAAATAGCGAAAAACCTCGCGTCGTGTTTTTTTCATGATTCGAGGGGGTCTGGGACTGCCAGCAGACGAGACACCTGCGATGCCAGCGAGCGCACCACGCCGCGCAGCGCTCGGAGCATCCCGCACGGCGCGCCGTCGGGCCGGCGCCTCTCCGCCACGCGCGGGGGGCGCACGCCGGGCTCCTGCTGCAGAGGAGCGCGTCGGCACGGCCGGGGCGTCGAGCAGCTCCGGCTTGCACGTGTGGCCCCAGGCCTCGCGGAAGTTCATGCATGACTCACGGAGGAGGAGCGCGAGGGGGAGCGAAACGATGGTGAGGAGGAGGAGGAGGAGACGAGCACAAGGAGAAGGAGAAGGAGGAGGAGGAGGAGGAGGAGGAGGAGGAGGAGCAGCAGCAGCAGCACAGGCAGGACGAGAACAGGCGGGGAGGAGAGGAGGCAAAGGGAGTGGGAGGAGGGAGAGAGAACAGGAGGAAGAGGCCAAGTCTTGCATTGGCCGCTTGGTTTGGTGGGGAGCGTTTCCGAGAAGTGGGCATAGTTTTCGAAGACCCACTGCATTTGTTGATCATCAATCAGCACCATCGGTCTGCCTTCTCCTGCGTTGCACGCCCTGGTTGCCGCGCGTAGAACGCAACAGTGACATTGCCTCTGGTCCACAGCGCACCGCCTAGATGATGTCTAACACGGGCTTCTCCGTGTTGGTCGAGGGACGGATGTTGTAGCAGAACCAGGAACAGCCGCCTTGGGACTCGCTGCCTGCCTTGCCCACCCACTCCTGAGATCCGACGTTGCGAAAGAGCTGCAGCATCGCAAAAAATGTCATATGTTCACACTTAAATAAGATTATCCCAGTGCGACCCGACCTAGGAGTTGGAGAATCTAGGAAAGCAACATACTATGCTATGCTATGCTGCGCTATGTTATGTTGTG